TACTGGGACAACTAACTAGCCAGCTATGCGCTAGCACCTATGCTGACAGTGAGGAGAACACCTTCTTTGTCTTTTCTTGGGTTTTATTGAGCAGAATAGAGAATGCAAAATAACTGTGATTTACCTGGCACCGTGTGCTCACAGGAGAAAATGAAATAGCTAACTGAAAACAGTAACAACATTCCCCTCATGGCATCCCGTGTCCCGCGCCAACTGGCGCCCACTTGTTACCCTTCTTATACCGTCCCGCACCTGTTCCTCCCCCCATCCCACATTGGCCAGAACAGCGCGGCATTTCACAGAAAACGGCGGTAACCAATACATGCAACAGTTTTCACAACAGTGTCAACCCATTTTGCACACAACAGGACACACGAACATTTGCGGCCGGTCAGGGTCGCCACAATACTAATGATTGACTCTGATGGTGATTTTGCTTGTAGCTTATTGTTCATTTCCAATATTAAGTTTGTGGAAAACGCCAGCCAGTTCCCCATCTGCTCTTCAGGTTAGCTAGCTGGAGTTCATACTAAAGTCTACAGTAGTGTCAGCTCTGAACAAAACTACTGTAGTTTATGTTAAAAGTCTTTACCACTACTGTTCATATTACAGCGGAAATTCGAGGGTATTGTGATGCACGTCCGCTCTGGTTGGTGCAGAAATTCAAGTGGGCTGTACAAAACGGCGCCTTCTTACCTACAGTGCTAATGTTGCTAGTACTAGATAAGTAACCTATGTTTTACAGGCTCAGATTGTGTTTTTTTAGACAATGTTAGTAGTGGCACTTGCTTGCTGATGTTTTGCTAAGTAGATAGGTTGTCTGTTTCTATCTGCTCTTGATATGAGCGTCATATGTTATTGTCCAGCCTTGGAAATTCAGAAATGTTGCTTATATTATGTTACATTATGCTATTTACAATTAATAATACATGTAAATAATTTTGTCATAATATGAAATTGGCTGTCAAGATTCCCGAATGCTTGAATTTAATATTTTGTAATACTGATAAATGTGTAA